TTAGGCTGCGAGTTTGTGGAAGTAAGTGTTAAATACAATATGTATGTCAATGTACGGTGCTTTCAAAGGTGTTTGTAAAATATACTGATGAACGTTTGTCAATTATTTAATAGTTAGTATAGGCGTGATCAAGGTAAATGTTAAATACAAGATCTTTGTAAAATATATTTAATGAACGCTTTATCAATTATTAAATAATCATATAGGCGAGTTTGATCAAAGTAAGTGTTAGTCAAGATCTATGAAGCTTGCAAAGCGAATGTTTATCAATTATTCAATAATTATATAGGCGGGTTTGATCAAAGTAACAAAGTTTGCAATTCAGCTTTGCAAAATGAATCTATAGACGTGATCAAAGTATTTTTAGTAATAAACAAATAATCAATTCAATCTTCGATTTAATTAAACGCACAATGCTTTATTTTTAGTAATAATCAATTCAATTGTCAGTTAATTAAAAAAAGTAACCGAATAATGAATTCAATTGTAAACGCATAATGCTTTTCTTAAAAGTAAACAAATCAATGATCCAAAAAAAACCAGGACATATGATTATAATAGTAAAAAACGTTTTTTAGCATTTTTAGTAATAGACAATTAATTCAATTGTCAATTAACAAACTAAACGCATAATACTTTTCATAAAGTAAACAAATCAATGGTACAATCCAAAAACAACAGGACAAATGATAATAATATTAAAGATGTTTTAATAATAGAATGATGCCTTTTTCATAAGAATAAACAAATCAACGGTATGATCTTCATCACACTAAATAAATATTAAATGAAAAAGGAAAGATGCTTCACCACCACCAAAAAGTTATTATTAGTAGCATATATGATAAAATAAATAAATAACAAAAAACAATAATGAATTCAATTATTGAAATTAAATAGCTCTTCTTAAATGTAAAATAAACAAAATTTTTTATTCTAACCAAATATTTCTCTACAGTTGGAAAAAAATTATTATTGCACGATAAATGTTTATCACGTGGAAAAAAGATATTTACATTCATTGAACATCAAAGAAAAAGAGATTGATTTAAAATTTACCACTCAGCGAAAGCAAAAAATTCTTTCCCAAAAATTAGGTTTGAAAAACAAGATTTTTCCTGATCATTGGTTGCAATTGCAATTGTTCGCATCGCATTGCTTTCCATTTCCAATTCAATACAATGCAATTTGCCGTATGACAAAAATTTTTTTGCTAAATATGGGTAGACGTAAAAAGAGACAATCAAAAACCTGCACGAAAATCGCACGACTTATGGGTTTTGAAAGAAGATCGGAGTGACACGGAAAATGGTTTATTTTTTCTTTGCGTTAACCATATTATTATATAAAAATTCGTCATTAGTAATTTTTCTGCAGAAAGTTTCTAAATTTGCATTGGCTACACCGAAATTTCCTTTTCCATTAACATATTTGCTATATATAATTTTTCTAAATTTGGCTTTTACAATCATTTTTTTTTATTTAAAGCGTATCTACACTGTATTTAGCAGTAGATTGTGTAAACAGTAATAGTAACAATAAACATGAACACGAACAATCTTTTACATTTTTGTGTCGTAATATTGCATTATAAAAATAAAATTTTTCCATTAAAATATACCAAAAATTTTCTATCATTAAAATTCATCTTTATTAAAAACTATTATTTATAAATGATAGGAATGATTAGCTGTATCCCTGCTAAAAATGCAAATACTGCTGCAGCTATCCTGTCCTTAATTTCATTCTTGAGTCTCCTTTTATTGAACTTTGGGACACCAACTATCGAGTCAATTTATATTGCGAGCGTTGAAGTGAGTAGTGGTAATCTAAAGGGCCAAAAAATTATATTTGGATTATATGGCGCTTGCCTACAAGCTACCATGATGGACACTAAATCTAGATGCACGAATAGCAATGATGGTCTTGATAGTGACTATATCATTTCAAATACCCGTACAAAATTTTTGTTGTCTATGCATGCTGTTGGTAATGTACTTTTTTACTTATTAATTATGCCAATAAAATGTGAAAATATTATAAATTAATTATTGTTATTGTTTGAATATATTTTTAGGTGTAGTAACATCATTCATATTGTTTTGCATGGGCTTGTATACTCGCCATGGTCAAACTATATATAAAAGAGTGACATGGATATTCGCATTATTCAGTTCTTTTATCATTTTGTTAGCAATGGGAGGACAAATTGACCTTTATTTACAAGTCAAAAACGACATCCCAATTCATGGAATATCTGCAACACTTGGAGCTAGTGGATTTCTTCTTGTGGTTGTACCTCTCATATTGTCAATCTTGTCAATCTTTATATTTTACATCGGAGAACACGCTGTAACTAAAGAAGGCGGCATTCCAACTATAGGCACAGAAATGTCCATTCAGCGAAACGTTCCTTAATTTCCTCAACCTTATTCAAACGCCATCAACCAACAATTTATTATTTAATTTAATTTTTTAATTTTTTCAATCCAATTTTCTTGAAAATAATTCAGAGTTAATTAGAATTAGTTTAATAATTTTAATAACACTATACAAACTTATATATGGGTGCAGAACTCATTGGCTAATTTAAACTTCTCACAACTTAAAATTGATATATATATATATATATGTATATATTAATATTTGAATTTTGACACAGCCAAATTTTATTCAAAAAAAATTCTACCAGTAATCAACATCAGAGCTTTTGAAATTACTATTTTAAAGCAAGGTGTGACTTTTTATATTATTAAACTTACCCCGGGACAATCTGGTAGACAATCTATACAGAATATATTAATATATATATATATATATATATAACTTGGACTATGTTAAAATAAATGGATCAGCAGTAAAAGATTATAGAGCTCAAAGTTATAAACTTTACAATTTTCATCATTTATTTAATCACAAGTTTGGTACAACAGTTCCATTACTTCAATAAAAAGTTATTTCCTATATTTTTTTAATTTTAGTGATACCAATAGTTCTAAAAAATATATTTAATTTCACAAAAAAAAAAAAGGAAATGTATAGTTATTGAATAAATTGATTTAGACAATTGACTTTTGGGATAATGTATGATAGATCATTTGACATTCTTATTGATTTGTTTCCTTCGTGTACCATTGAATATAATAATACATTATCAGAGGGTGAATGTATGGCCCTTCTAACGTGTGTTCTATTATCTAATAAATTCAAAAGGTTGTGTGTGTGTGTGTGTAATAAAAATTTTCCTTCCTTCAGCTCTGGCCTAATAAGATAAATAAATATTTTTGGCTCTGATTTTAAAAAAGTAATTAGTTAAAGAAAACTCACGGATTGATTTTGATTATGAAAAGCTCCATGGTCAGCTAAACAAAAATTGCAATATATAAGAGCTTTAGTAATAAATAATTAGTTTTGATCCAACAAAAATCCTTTAAGATAAATTTTAGGAAAAAAGGTCAATTCACCATCGAATACTAACAACTAACAAGAATATCAGAAATAGAAAAAAGAGACAATTTCAAAAGAAATTATCAACTATATTTTGAAATATACAAACTTTCAAAGTGAAAGTACAAAAAATAAAAACAAAACAATAAAATCGATGGTATCAGCGACATAATAATATCTAATATTAACAATGAATGGGGAAAAGGACTTGATCAAAAAGGGAAATTTCATATGAAATGGGATCTATATATACAACTATTACCATATCCACCGATTTGTGCAACATTTTGGGCTACAAAATTTTGAATGACAAATTTAAGGGATCATCTTTTATAAAATTTAAAATTATCACCATTACTTATATATAGCAAAAGAAAATAAATATATATTAATTGATTTGGATTTATTTTTAGTTTTAACTAATTTCTTGCATGGGATTAGCTGTCTATTTACCCACTTATAAAATTCTATCAATATATAAATAGTTAGTATTGTTATCATGAAAAAATTTATTCAAAAAAAAGGAATAAATATGAATTCAAGTACTGGTGTAGCAGAATTTCTGCATTTAATAACACAATCAATAGTTATTTAATACGAATTGATAAATATTTATTAGGGCAGAAAAATTAATAATGAGACATTAGTTAACAATCATTTCTATACTTGATATTTTTTAGATTACTTACTTTGATACAGAGTAAAGAATTTGTTCAATTTTCACATTTAAACAAACTAGAATAAAATATTTAAAATTTTCTTTTTTCTTTTTAGCTTGATCAGACATTACTTTAGTAACTTGCGTAAATATTACAAATTTACTGGAAAAAACTTTTTCGAATAATAAAGGACAGACACCCTTGACCATGATACAAGAAAATTGATAAAGTCATTTACGCAGATTTACGCTTTTAATTCACCATGTCAGATTGTTTTCATGAAAAAGAAAGTTTTACATTTTGTTTATCCCGATTCTAATTCTAATTCTGACGATGATGGTGTTTTCTCTTCCCTTCCTCTTTTTTCTAATAAAGAATATACAAGTAATTCATGCAAACATATTGTAAATAAATTTAATAATCATTTTCATAACCAAAAAATATTCGATATATACATTCCCTAGACAAAAGTATCAGTTATAATTTTGAAACATGTACGTAATAAATATATATATATTAATATATAATTTGTAAAGCCTGGATTCTCAAAAATTAGCAATATTCCTATGTACTGTGATGTCTAGGAAGGCAGTGAACAAAAAAATAAAAAAATGCCTTTAATTGCTCATATATTAACCACATCTAAAATTTTTGAACCTGACAAAACGTGTCATATATTTTTTATATTTTTTGTTATTGTCTTTTTTTTTAATAAAGTCTAAAAGGAATCTGAACAGAACGTCCTAAGCTTTTCGCAAATAATGGGCAGCCAACAAAATATTATATTATAAATAGTAATTAGTTACTTTATTAATTCATCAAAAAGTTTTTGGTCAAATTTTTTATAGACACATACCACAAGATATATTCTCTTGGTAAGCTGGACTACAGAAAATGTTAAGAGACACAAGTGCCTTGATTTATTGAATAACATTAAGTGTCTAATAATTTATTACATGCTTAATTAAAATTGTTATTAAATAGTGCTTTAGTATAATATTGAGTTAATAAAGAATCTGAACTCAATCAAGATTTAAAGAAAAATGTGCTTAATGGCCTTCGAGAGGAAAAACTACTACCAAAAAATTTAAACGCTATTGTTGTGAAAAATATACTGTCAACCATAATTTCATTTGCTCAATTTGTAATAAGTCAGAATGTCATCAGAGTTAAATACCGAGGAAGAAAAGAGCGTCAAGCTTGGTTTAAGAAACAAGTATAGAGGTCGAGAACAAGCTGATGTTCTGTATTTGTATTAGCCTTGGTGATTAGAGAAGCATTGTTTATAACAAATAAGATTGCAATTAAGTATATTTTTTTACATACTTCATTCCTTCCCATTGTCGCATTAACTTCTTGTTAATATGGATTATTTCTTCGCGTTGAAAATGAAACTAGTGACTATGTTATACCGCAGCTGTTGGTTATCTGTAATTTCTGTAACAAAGATTTGAAATAGTTTCTGTTGATTCGTTTAATACAGTGAGATTAATTAATGGTGGTGGTAATCACAGGTTTCATATTCATACAGATCAATAATTGGATGATACTCAAAGGTAGTAAATGTGCGGAGCTTTCAACACAGATTAGTTTAAACAATGGTTTCTTTAAAAGAAAGATCAATGATTTTAATTGTTGCATAAAAAAATTATTGTTGTTATTGTTATAGATAAAAGAAAATTCATAAAGAAAATAAAAAATAAATACAAAGTTGTGTATGTATGCCTTCTCGACTCAAAAATCACGTGGCTGTGAAAATTTTATTGCATTGCGGCGCAGAATGTTCAGCGACAAAGTGACGTTGCTTGCGCTACAGAAACAGAACTAATTTGTTGCCAAAGATAAATTTTTTACAAAAAAGAAATACCTTAAATCAAATTTGAAAAAAGAATTTGGTAGGTTTTAATTTATATAAATAGTAATAACAACTTTTTTTTAGTAACAACATATGCAAATACTAACAAATTATTGTTGTGTTGACTTTTTATTTAATTCCAATAGAGATCGATACTAAAGATGAAGACTTCAATTAGTTGCAACTAGTCGCAATTAATTAGAAGCCCATCTTTAAGAGAATAGTTAGACGTTAAAATTGATCAACTTATAAAATTGGTAGTAATAATGATTTATCAATACTTCAATCATAATAAACAGTAAATTATCACATAATTAAACTTGGGTCAGCAATTTGAGGATCGTTTTCGTTGGCATCATGGTTTGGAAACAAGCTTTCATGATTATATAAATGATATTTGATGGAAGAAATTGTTACAGTGCGGATCATCTATACTCAAAAGTTAAAATTTTTTATGTGATCCACACATTGGATTTTTAAAAACTCGCCACCATTCAATTCGGCTTTAAAAAGGGAGTCTATTAATCTA